CATCATATCGGTGGAAAACGGGAGGCCAAGAAGACATAGAACGTTGCTCTGCTGGAGGTTAGCATCATTTGAGTATTCCTTGGCAAATTCCAAAGCTAGAGTAAAAAGATACTAGGAAATTACCTCCCCATCGCTTTCGCTTTTACTTCTTAGTAAGTTTTAGCGTCTGATTTCGATACAATTTACGAAACAATATAACAATCTGTATCTGCCCATAAGGAAATTGTTTAACTTTTATATGCAGAAAACTTCCTATGATGAACTATATTAAAAAAAAATTCCGGTGGATTTGAATTTAGCGTAGGTCACATTCGAATCGAATTTATTCGAATTTATAATTTATATTATTATATAAATTATATAATTTATAAATTATATAATTTATAAATTTATAATTCAATAAATCCGGTGTTAATTCATTTAATTTACATTTCTCACTTTCCCGGTTCACTACTCCAGCATAAGTGACAAAATCTTCATTGTCACCTTTTACTAAGTTAAGACATTGCCAATGTGTACTGAATAATGAGTATCTTAAAAAAAAAAAAATTAGTATTAATATAGTTTCATTAAAATTTATCTCACCTGTTTTATTTATTTATTTATTTTTATTTATTTATTTATTTTGGTAAAATAAAATTCACGCATTTTTCATGATCTGCCGAAGGCAGTTTTCTTAAAAATAAACGAACTTTTTTCCATCATCAATGTGAAAAAAATCCCTTTTGAGAATTTCTTCATATGTTCTGTAAGCTGGGAATGTTATTCCTTTGACTGGATTGTATAAAAATTCGATAATAGAAATGGCGTCAACATTTGGAGTGAATGAATATACGTTCTTTCTTCAATAGATTTATTTATTAATTCCAGAAATTTCTATTGTAATTCTTGTTTCCAAAATTTGGATTATGACAGAATTTTAATTCTTCCTTCTTCTGTAGTCCGCTAAATTAATATTTGATTATTCTCGCCTGGTTCTTTATCTGTTATCCTGTGAATATTTTGTAGGTCCACGTGTCGTCACTTTTGTGAAGTGATAAATATTTACGGAATATCCTGTTACGACATTTTTTTTTTAACTTCGCGAGTTCAATGCGAATCCTCGTTCGCCAATTTTGTAATTCGCCACACGTACATAATACAAGTAATAACAGAAAGACTTCAATGTAAAATAATAAAGAATATAATTACTAACGCAATTAAAATACATGAACAACAAAGACGTAAAGGGTCAAAGAAAAGATTATTGGTTACTAATTAGTTAATACACGACTGCGTAGAGTTACTAAGAAAAATACTAATTCGTGTTGAAACACGTGAAAATTGACTTTAACGTCCGGGTTAACACAATAGTCAATCACGTAATTGTGATAGGTATTTATCAAGCTCCCCACAAGGTAGGATGTGGCACAACGCCGATTTTTAAGTGGGGTAGCCCCGAGCCCGCATACACGACGTCAGGTTTGTAAACCTCCACAGACGACTCTACCCGTAGGCATAGCCCCGTCTGTGCTCCTCACTACCCGAAGACAGATAGGTCAATACGTAATTGAAACCACACCGTCAGTGGCATGATATTTGCATCTATATTAAAGAGCGGTCTACATTTCCACTGTCTAGAGATTCACGTACAAACTCGGGTGTCAGCAGTGACACTTTTTATTTATATATAACCGTTCTTCAAAGGAATTTGAAGACGGGAGTCAGAGTATGACTATTAGTGCCATTACCGAAAGGCCTGAATGATTTGCCTCTCACTATTGCTCAGTTTGGAAAACACAAACCTATTTTAATCTGTTCTATTTCTAGATGAATTGCTCAAAGGGTTTTTTCAGTGATTCTTACGACAAATGGTGCCAAGATGGCTAAATGTATTATATGAACACCTGGAAAATGGAAACTCGATTATTTTGGTATTTTTTTAGATATTAAAGAGTGGATAGCAGATCCCTTCTGGAGACGCTTGCTCAGGCACATTTGTGTTTGTTCAACAGCCAGAGTGCCAACCTGTGGTTTATACTGCAACTATGCTGAGCAGACCTTAGTTACAGTTTCTGGGAGAGAGCGTGTTATCTAGCATGATCAACAATTTAAACAAACTCAGCACACTCAAACCCTCGGTCACGATGACTTGTGACTTCATGCTAGCACAGCTAGCCGTTGTATGGTTATCAGACACTTTCCAAAGGTGCCGCACACTGGGATCGCCCCCCTCAAACCGTCGCCTTCCTGACAAACCAACCGTAGTGAGATTCGAATCAGGTTCTAATAGTCAGAAACTGAACGTTCTAACCACTCGGATATATATATATATATATATATATATATATATATATATATATATATATATATATATATAGATACACCTAGTGAGCCAGACAAACCTACCTAGGTTTCACCTAAACGGATCGTCAGGGAAGGTTTGTCTGGCTCACTAGGTGTATCTAGGTTTGCTCTACGATTGTATTGAGCTCTTTTGTTAGTTAGTTGTTACTCGTATCGGGGTTTTTCTTTGGGCTTCAGACCTGCATCTGTGCGATTTTTTGTCGGCAGAAGTCCATGTTTGTAGCTCTTTCTTTTTTAAAACCTTTTTTCCCTCGAGATTGATTTGATTAGCAAATCAAAAATTCGAGGGTTTTTCGAAACGAGTCTAGTTTTCTATATATATATATATATATATATATATATATATATCATAATTAAGTAACTCTCGAGTCTAGAAAAAACCTCAACAGAACGCACTGGACGGCCGTTTCGTCCTATATTTGGGACTCATCAGCAGTGCGTATCCACTACGGAAAATTGAAACCCGGACAGTTACGATATCAGGCAAACGTCATACTAAATGTACCAATGAAGAGGCAACGAATTAGACTCGATAAACCCCTGATCGATTACATATTCCGTGGTGGAACTCATCCGAGTTTCACTTGCCCTCATGAGCCACGACTGCTCTTCCCAAGCCGCTCCATCCAGAACATTAGAAGCTAATTCAAGCAAGGATATACAAGTGATAGAAATTATTAGGAGGATTTGAGATAATCATAATTAATTATTATCATCTCAAATCCTCCTAATAATTTCTATCATATATATATATATATATATATATATATATATATATATATATATATATATATATATATTGTTTTAGGATATTACATCAAAAATATATAATATGCTACACAAATGCAGTCATGCTTCGATGTGCATTAAAACTTCATCAGGCGTTAGTAAACACACACAAACACACACACACACACACACACATATATATATATATATATATATATATATATATATATATATAAAAAGTTAATCATACCTTGAATCTTTTAATATAAAATATTAATCACTTTGTAATATAAAATATATGCTGCCTATTTTATTATATATATATATATATATATATATATATATATATATATATATATATATATATATATATATATATATATATATATATAAATAAATAGGTTGTTCAATAAAACAAAAGTCAAATGAAAGGGTACCAATGAAATCAGTACGAAAAACATTTATTAATATTAACCAGGTAATTTTATCAAGAACGCTGGTGTGTTCGAAAATTCCGAATTTGGAACCTCAATCTCTGTGATTCATATTTGTCACCCGGTTAATATGAATAAATGTTGTTCATACTAATTTTACATCGGTACCCTTTCATTTGACTTTGTTTTATTGACCAACTTATCTAACCTACTTTATAAACTATATGAAAGCATACGTGGACTTTTTCTAATTTTATACACACACACATACATACATACATATATATATATATGTATGTGTGTGTGTGTATGTATGCATATATATATGAAGAAAAATATACGGAAAAAACAAACAAAAATCCTAATATGCAATTATGCTGTTTTAATGTTAATATAATGTCAACGTCGGACGTTTCGGTCTAGTAGACCATCTTCAGGACATATTCATAAAACATAATTAACATTAGACTATATTTAATTCAACATGAAAAGATGATGGACATAAGAGTAAGACTAATCAAAACAGATAACTGAAATTTTTCAAGATCAGCGTTCCGTTTCAATATGATCACGTCGGCGTCACGTCGGCAATGTTGTGAAAATGTACTCCTAAAATAGAGTATTTCGAATGAAAAATGAAAAGAATTTCATTTTAATCTAGAACTTATATGTACGTTTGTCGAGCATTAATTTTGCTAGAAAAGGGGAAATATTAAAAAAGCCTTTTCTAGTATTCAAGATTAATGCTCGAGTATAAACACGATGACTGTTTACGTTAAGACTCATGTATTAACACCTCATATTTTTTCATATAGCCTCAAGTATTAACACGACCATTATTTCCTTATGTTTACAAGAATAGACATGTCGAATTTTTGTCCTTTTTGCACATTTGTCGTAATATCCCCCCCTCAATGAATTTCTCACTATTAGAAGATAGATATACATCTGGGTTGCATTATTTCTTCGATGGATCCTGATAAGATCACAGTGGAGAAGGCAAATGGATATCACTCCACTATTTCTTTCACGAGCACTGAATATAAATAGCTGCTCAAAAATCTGCATATATTATCATGCAATAATCACTCGATCGGAAGTCCTAACGTAAGAATTAACAGTATAGCAATCACTAATCAAGGAAATAAAACTGTAGTTAGAAAATAATAACTTTCAAAAAGAAATAGTTGACATTATTCCATCTGTTTACTTTCAAGTGAAGGACTCAATGCCTGCTACATAGGTGGACATTTGCACAAATACGGAAATACATGAACCGGATGGGAAGTACTTATAGAGGAATGGCGTGTATTTTCAGAATTGCCACAAGGAATAGTGAATGCTGTCTCGGGATAGAAAAACAACAAATCCACGAAATTAGTCCAGCCTGAAAAAAATGTTTCCTGAATAAAATCAATATGAAACATATTGGCTTTTTAAATGTTGTTCGGATAGCTGAATGCCTTCATTGTATTACTGATGTTTTTAACAATGTTGCAGCCGAAACATTCTTCAGCGTTCATCGCCTTTTCATACATATCTATCTATCTATCTATCTATCTATCTATCTATCTATCTATCTATCTATCTATCTATATTTCTTATGTTGTCTGTCTGTGTGTCTGTCGTGGGCGTTGTTACCACGCCCAGGAACCTGATTTCGATGCGGTTTTCAATACAAGTTTGCAAATTGCTGCCGTAAGGACATGACGTAGCCCGATTTTTGAGTTCGGAATCAGGTTCCGAAAAAATCGATAATCGAAAAAATTCTGGTTACAGAAGGAATGATCGCATTTCAACCAAATTTGACACCCTGTTAGAGTCTACCATTAGAAGTGTTGTCCAGAAGTTTCATGACCACGGACCCCTAAACAGCGCGGAAAATCGATAAAACCCAAAAACCGATACGCCCAGATTGCGTCTGAACCGCATGTCGGTTTTTAGCGAAAACTGAGCGAATTTATGAAGAGGCCATTGGGAGTCATCATGTGAAGTTTCAACTCTGAGCACCCCCCCCAACAGAGTGCAAATCGACAATCGGTCAACCCTTAAAAATGTTTTTTCCGTTTTTTTTTTAAAGCTGATCGTATTGTGTTTATTTTGTTTAGTTCTTTTTTCGTAACAGATTTAATGTTTAGTATAGAGCTTAGAAAAAATCCGCAGTGTGAGATAGGCAAGAAGTAAGGCATGTAACAACATCAGCACAGCAAAGGGCACTCCTCTAAAGGCAAGGAAGGGCAAAAATATTTTAAGTCAAGTGATAGCGATTGCTGTATTAGTCGTACTATTTTTGAATCAAGTACGGGCAACGCCGGGTCATGCTGCTAGTGATCTATATGTAAAGTGGATATTTTTTTTTGTCTTAAAGCTTAGGTATTGAAATATCACTGAGGTATTTCTATAATCAAAATCAATCACACGATTTCATTCGATAAGCGAATCTAGTTAAATCATTGGATAATCTAATGCTGATCAATCAAAACTTTAAGAATTTATTCAATGATGTTTCAATGCCATCTTCCGTGATCTCTTCCATATATAAAATACATATCAAAACTATTCGAAAAAAAAAAACTAATCACAAACATTCAAATATGCTTCCCTTCTTATTCCTATGTTTTTCCTCTTCAGAAAAATGAAAGAACTTTTTTTATTTACACCTAGAACGTTAGATAGCCATGCTTTCTATTCTACTTGTTAACATCTGCTCATCTCAGGAGGAATAATGTAGCATAGAGCTATACAGCTCTTCAGATGCGCATACGTTAAGATCCTTCGCTTGGCATTGCTGGCAAAAGCCAAAGAATACGATAAACCAATGCAGTTTGATACTAGATCTGTTGCAGGCATTGCCGGGGGCGATTCACGACACCGTCCATCTGTCTTCGAGACCCCAGACCTAATTTGTGTAGGGTTTACTCATTAGACTTTATGTGGGAGAGGGTTTAATTCAGAACTTTCTCAAAGACTAGATGCCACCCAAGGTAAGAAAGCCCAATCTACACTCTACATAGATCAGTGAAGTTTATTTTAAACATGTCCGCTACCATTGATCCTTTCTGATTGGTTAAAAGAAAACCACTGAATACTCAGTGCCTGAGTCGCCGAAAAGAATTGTTAGCATATTCGCTAAGAGTGATCGTTCCTTTTACCCTTTCTATATTTAATTAAAAAATAACCAAAACCCGATGAGCTGATTGACTTGAAAATCACTTTATTTTTCAAGTTTTAATATATCAAAGAGATATTGATCATAATATTTGAATTAGGTGAGTGAAATTTGAAATCTGCACAAATTCTAATTGCTTGGTAATTAAATATTGGTAATGTACAAGCATGCTTTTCGGAGTTACATTCATGCTTTTCATGTATATATTTGAATTAGTTATTTTTATGCTTTTTTCTTGCTCTCCGGAGGCAAACTATCCAGAGTAGGTCATCTTATAACAGTATTCAGTTTATAACTATGTTGAAAACACTTTTGTCTTCTTCATATTCCAGTCAAAGGTTAGACTATTGTAACAATAGCAAGAATTATCTGCAATGTCGTCACTGTTCTTTTTCATGATATCTAAATCTCTTCAGCCAGCATAACCTAACCTCCCTGTTGTGGGACTCTCCTCTTTTTACATAAGATGGACTCGTCCAAAGTACACTTATACTGACTATATACTATATACTATACTACAAGTATACTATAAGTATACTATAAGTATACTATAAGTATACTGACAGGGAGAATACCTGCTGTTGAGATACGTCGCGATACAGTCTGTCGAACTCTCTGCTTTGGCAGAGAGGAACCCGGACGAAGCTTTGCCGAAGGGCAAGGTTTCGTCCGGGGAGGTGGACAGGCACTGAACCCGTCTAGGCGGGTTCAAAGGGTATATTTTTGGCCAAGCCTACGGGCTCGGAGAAACCCACTTTAAACTCGGCCTTGTGCCACATATATTCCTCATGGGAGGGATATTAAATACCGAGATATGTTGAGATACTTGGAGATACGTTAAGACAGGTTGAGAGATACGGAGACAGACACAGGGTGTTCTCAGATAGTTATACAAGAGTCCAGTGAGAGAGATGATTACGGCTTTACTCATAGAGACTTGTACATATTCTTTCTACTAACCCGCATTCTTAGACTACTAATCTTCACTTTACGTCTGTATTCTTACGTTTAATACACTTATTTTTCTATCTCAATTTCTGGCGTTATTTATTTATTTGTGCAGGATTCCGTTCCCGGAATCCACAACACTCCCCATCTACTTAATGGTCTTGTTTTCCCTGCGGGTATTTTTAATCCCTACCATTCTTATGACAAAATATGGTTTCAATGTTATTAAAAGAACTTTATTCACTAAAAGGATATTTCTCTTGAAATGCAAGCTTGCAGTAAATTCAGTAGATAGAAAAAATACCCTGTTATTTCTAAAGCGTCCGTGTTTATCTATTTGATAGGAGAAATATTACAAATTATTTCAAATCCACACGGTAAACGATTTCGCATGACCCACTATATTATCTGTGTCCCGTGTATTTCTGTTTTTCTGTTAGACTCATCTAACTTGCTTGGCGTTGCCCATCTCAATAACATGTAACACTGTTAAAAGGTTACCTTGTACAAACAAAAGGAACGATTGTTGAGCCAACCAGTTATCGAATGTCGAAGATGTTTTGCTTTTGAAAAGGTTCAAGAGAACGAGGTTTGTGAAACAAAAAAAGGTAAGCTTATAATTAACATCAGGAAGAGGCAGCTGAAAATTCTGGGGCCCGTCATGATGAAGGAGGGCAAGTAGGATTAGACCCTCACAGAACATATTGAACGAAAGAGAGACAGAATAAAGCATCGTAAAAGATACTTGATGAGCCTGAGAAACTGGATGGTAGAACAGGATTTAGGAGAAAGAACAAAGTACTTGTTAAGAGCTAAACGGAACAGGAAGGCGTGGAGATCAATGATCGTTTACGTCATAAAAGGACACGGCAGACAAAAGAAGAAAGAAGAACTTCCGAATTTATTATCGGTGGGCAAGAGCCGCGGTGTGTCATGTACACATGGCCAGTGGATAAAAACGTTAGTTGAAGTAATCCACTGATTTGACCCAAAGTGTTTTGAGTTCAATACCTGGCCACAGCAGAGGTGAACAAAAACCTGGACAGGAAATAACTTAAAACTGAGATATCCGGAAGCAGCATGGCATGTAAAACGAGAATAATTTACTAAAGGGTTCGATCGCAATCTTAATCACCGGAAGAAGGTCGGAGCGTACAACGGCCTAAAAGTCGCGAGTATGACAACAAAGCTGAGGACAACGTTCCGGACAATTTAAATATTGTAAATCGTTACAGCACCTCATCTCAGAAATATGAATAAATTCTGATGAAGGCCGGAGCGTATGACGGCCGAAACTGCGTGAATGTGACAACAAAGTCGAGGACAACAGTCCGAACAATTTAAATATTGTAAAACGTTACAATGTCTCATCTCAGAAATAGAGACAGATATATTTATTTCTTGTGTTTTATATATATATATATATATATATATATATATATATATATATATATATATATATATATATATATGTATTTGTCTGGAAAAAATCCATATTTTCAGCTAAAAGTAAAATAAAATTATCCTTGATAAGGACTAAAAGAATAGCCGAAAGTGCTTGGACATACAGAACAGTCGGACAATTTCTATATAGTTTATGTTCAGAAAAGAAAAACTTAAAAGAACCGCCCCCAAATTAAATAAAAACTAAACCGCAGTACCTTGTTAGTCATTTTTTAACGAAACATGTATAAAAGTGGGATTGTTACCCAAATACACAATATATATATATATATATATGTGTGTGTGTGTGTGTGTGTGTGTGTTAGTGAAGGTTCCTCAGTGTGTATTTAATTGTGTCTAATTATGTTATCTTTTCATGCCAGGGCGAATAAATCTGCGTGTGCTTGCAAGTACGTATGTATCCGTGATTACAGAATTTGATAAAAATAATATTTAGTGATGTCGAACTATGCAGAGGTCCGTTACCGAGTGCAAAATCGAAGGTGGACGCATTTAACAACGAATAGAAATCGATATAATTAACTATTTATTCGACTGATGGCCACGTTTCTTAATTGCATTATGATCAATTTATTAAATTAAACTCGTTAAAATCCATCGATTTTTTTTTTCAGAGGTTGCAGACGCTGAATGAATCTGCCGCCCAAATATAGCGGGAAATTCTAGACAATTTTGTCTTTTTACCTTCATGCTCTAAAATAAATTTTACTTTCTTTTTATTTGCCGGAATGTTACCAGGAAAATCTGATACAATGCGTATCTCTTTATACAACCTCCTTTATAGCAAAAGTAAAATCATCAAAATAAGATAATGTAAAGAGAACGAAATTAAACTTTTAAAACTATATCGTTAAAATCGTATTTCTTCCCCTATATAAAGCTGGCAGATTAAACAGCTGACGAAGACTTTCGACTAAACACCTATTTTCCGTACGATAACCGAACTTAAGCACCGTCGAGCCTGGTCATTTTCTAGATGGCCGCCCTCTTGAGAGTACCAGATGATGTAAGCTTGGATGTGCGGGTGGTACAGTGGATAAAGGTTTAGAATTATTAATCTTAGTGACGAGTTCAGATTCCTATTATGTTCATTATATTCACTTACGCGTAAAAAACGTCGCTATGAATCCATATCGTCTCCCAAGTTATGGGTTAATTCGTAAGAATAACCAATTATTATTTCCAAAAATTAATATTCTCATATTCTAAAAAAAATTCTGGCTTTAAATAACCTGCATAGGGTTGATAAACTGTAAGAAACAAAACAATTATTTCGAAATCTAAAAATCTTTCCTGGCTTTAAATAACCTGCAAATGGTGGATAAACAGTGGAAAACGAATCAATCAGTTGTTTCGAAACCTAAAAATCTTTTCTGGCTTTAAATAACCTGAAATGTGTGGATAAACAGGAGAAAACGAATCAATCAGTTGTTTCGAATCCTAAACATATTTTTTGGCTTTAAAAATCCTACAAAACGAATCTTCAATGAAATAAAGTTATATTTAAATGTGAAACTTTATGAGCGTGTCAATTCGAAACCCTGAAATTTAGATGTAGATATGGGTAAAAATAAAATACACACACACACACACACACACACACACACACACACACACACACACACATATATATATATATATATATAAAGTGTTTTCCAATAACTTTGACCGATTTTAAATGTGAATTAACTTTAAGCGTCTAATGATTTTTCTTTTTCTTTCAGATCTAACAACTTAAGTCTTAGGCAATTTCAGTTTGAATTGAATTTATGGTTTTTAAAGTTTTGCAGTTCCAACAGCAGTATAAGATATTGTCAAAAACAGACAAAGGGGATATTTTTATATCCCCTTCGTCTGTTCTCGGAATTTTACACCCTCTACATGTTTCATTACAGCTAATCTCTTCTCTATAGCCCACATTTTTGTACCCTGTACATCTAGCGTTTCTCGCTAAGCTCTTCATTCTGCCCTTCCTGTTTACATCCTCTTCACTCAGAATTTCCCTCAGATCTCTTCTCTCAGATCTCCCTTTTTCACCCTTTACATGTCTCATCCCCGTTAACCTCCAACAAGTTCCAACAGGACTGCGCCACATGCCATATAGTCGATGGAACAATGGCTTTATTCAATGAGAAATTCCCAGGTCTCATTATCTCTCGAAGCAGGGAAGTCAATTGGCCACCGAGATCGTGCGACTTGACGCCTTTAGATTTCTTCCTTTGGGGTCATCTCAAAAGCTCTATGCCAACAAGCCAACAACAATTCAGCAGCTGAAGGATGAGATAATATGCCATATTGGTCAGATCGAGGAGCATCTATGCAGTGACGTCATAAAAAATGTTGACCATCGAGTGGTGTGCGGTCGAAGCCTTGGCGGACATTTGGGCGATATTATTTTTCACACATAATTGCCATGACTTAAATAACATGATACAATGGAGAAATAAATAAATTTTCACCAATAGCACTGATGTATTTACTGCTGACTTTGATCTGTCATAATGAAACAGCCTTGCATATAATCCGTCTTAATGAAACACCCTTTATTAGTAGAATAGGCTTCGCTAAAGATACTTTCGCCAAATACCGTAAATTCCTAAAAAAAACATACAAGTGTCATTAACCTTGAAGCTCGAGTCATATTCTTAAATAGCCTCGTCAGATCGAGATTATTCAAATGGATGACGTGCCTCACCCCAAACTTGTTTAAAAATATCTAAACTGTCTTCTTCATAGTTTAAAAATGTCTTTGAGCAACTGAAGCCTATAGGTCTTGGTAAAGGCAACCCTTCAACGAAACTTGTGGACTGGCGCAACAGAATCACAAAGAAAGAACTGTAGCAAATAACATAAACCACATCACTTGAGGACTACCAACATCAGCAACAACTAAAATGGATATCTTAACATGCATCCTAAACAGACTTGGCCTATTAGGAAAAAAGGAAAAGAAAATGCTCTATAGGATACACCTTTTTATATCTCCTTTGTCTGTTCTCGAAATTTTACACCCTCTACATGTTTCATTACAGCTAATCTCTTCTCTATAGCCCACATTTTTATACTCTGGACATCCAGCGTTTCTCGCTAAGCTCTTCATTCTGCCCTTCCTGTTTACATCCTCTTCACTCAGAATTTCCCTCAGATCTCTTCTCTCAGATCTCCCTTTTTCACCCTTTGCAGATCTCATTCCCGTTAAACTCTTCTCCATAATTTTAAATCTTCGATATCTAAATGAATTTTCAAAGTGTCAATGTTTAGAATAGCTTCGAGTTAATGATAACTTTAGTTCCTTTAGAGAACAATACTTCTTTAAACATTGAAGACTGGCGCTACAGCATCACAAACAAAGAACTCTAACAAGGCACGTCAGGCTATATGACGGTTCTGTATAGGATACAGGTTCGATTTCTGTCGGTGGACGGATATTTTCTATGAAAATTTCTCGGACATTCAGGCCGGTAAATATCGTTAATACTGTTTATTATAAACAGAGCATTTACTTAAACATTTGTATCGATAAAAAAGAATGTATAAACATAAAACAGTCTTAAAATAATTGTTAGACTTTGTCCATTTCATATACTGTATTGTATATTTATGTTCTTGTCCAAGGGTTAATGATATAGAGGGCCTTCATATTAAATGTACAAGGACTGCGTAAAGATGAGCTTAATCTCGTTTGGTATTGACTAGAACCAATCAAACGGCTTCCTCTATTTCCGGTTGTAAAATGAATTTAGGATTATTAGCCGAGGCTCTGGTGAGTTTATAGTTTATATTTATAACTCTACTCTTATCTGGAATCGATATACTTAAATGAAAGCTTGTAACACAGATCTCCAGCTATGTCTCTATCACTTCGACTAAAATCGTTCCATTGTAAAACATGGAATTATAAATATATGGAGGTCCTAGGCGTTCATAAAGAATCCTACAAGAAGCTTTCAGTTCCCTCAGCACCTCCCTTGTGGGACGTATCATGAGTAATCTTGACCCTACCTCAGCACTTCTCTTGTGGGACGTTTCATGAGTAATCTTAAGACTACCTCTTCGGTTTTGTTTAGTTTCATTTGGTCTGGTCGGTTTTGTTTCACGGCATAACTCTTTTATATGGGCACGTGGCCGAGGGGTTAGAAGGTTCGCATTCTGATCATGAGACGCGGGTTCAAATCTCACCATGGTCGATTTGTCAGAAAATAGATTTCCTGATCTTATCGGAGAAGAGGTGTCGATCCCAACGTGAGGCACCTTTGGAAAGTGCTTTAAAATCCCACCATGGATTGACCCAAGCCTAGTGAGTGAAATTGGGAAGACGGAACCCTTGGGGGCTCTCGATAGCTGTGCTAGTACGAAGTCATAAGTCATCGTGACAGAGGGCTTGAGCGTTCTGGCCTTGTTCAAATTGTTGATGACGTTAGATAACACGCTCTTTCCCAGAAACTGTAACTAATGTCTGCTCAGCATAGTTGCATTATAAACCCCAGTTGGGCTCTGTGGGTGTTAATAAACACAAATGTGCCTGTACAAGCGTCTGCAATAGGGATTGTCAAGCCGCCTGGGTATCCTCGAATAAGACTGGCCAGGTATACATATAAGTATCTTTATGAGTTATTTAATGCCGAAATCTAAATATTTTGAACCCCATTTTATAGCTTCAACTAAATCTATTTTGACCGAATCTGTATTTCTTCAGCTCCAGATAAGATAGTCATTTTGCTTTAAAAATGTAATGTTGGTCATTTTACTATAAATATGTATTGGTCATTTTTCTTTTTACTCTATAAATGTATTGTTGGTAATTGTTTTTATATAATAATGTATTGCTTGTATTGTAACGATAACATTTTTATACTTTTCATAGTCTCTTGTTTTATGTGCAGGAGTTCACAATTTACTCATACCTGGGATCACAACAGGTGCTACCACCGCGGGTCAGGGCGGAGTTGGGACTTGGAAAGGCAATTAATAGGTAATTCCAGCCTTCTGAAAATCTCTAATCTCCTGATAAATATCTTTTCTGCCGGATGTATTTTATCGTAATACGGATAACTATCTCTATGGAAAGATACTGGTTGGAAATGAGCTTAATAAAAGAACCATATAAGTAATTCCATTATATTATTGATATATACCAGGATGGGTGTCTAAAATAGGATACATAATTCAAACAAAGAAAGAAATATGACAAATGGAATTTCGTTTTCATTTTAATTAGATTCCGTATTTCGGTTTTCTAGCCTTTAACAGATCAAAAATGAAATAAATGTGTGTGTGTGTATATACTTAAATATTAAATCATCATTACTTTTTCCGTTAAGCTGTCGTCTCTCGTGAGGAAAGAAAAGACTGAAATTGTGTGACTTTGTAAAGATCCGTTCATACTTATAGTGTATCTTTTCATTACAATTTTCTTGCTCTTCTTGATTTTTTTAATACATTGTTCCCACATTTTTCTGCATTGAATTTAATGTAAA